ATAAACTAAACCTATGAGCAAGCTGATTTCTTTGATGTTCACTGTTCTATGCTTTTAGAAAACATATATATACTGACCACTGACTCAAATAAAGTTACACTCAGATTTACACTTTCTTGAAGTGTGTCTGTTTGTCATTTCTTTAACCGAATCCCTGACCACCCTGCGCAGTCTCTCAACCCTGAGACGGCCTCATCGTCTACTGCTGTGCTGGTCTGCGGCAGTGCAGAGGTTAAAGTCTCAGCACTATCAAGTCATCACCAGCCACTGCAACATGAGTTTGATCCCCAACCAGGGAGCTGACCCACATGGCGCAGCAGACCTCTCTTGTCTCACCCACTGCTCCCCTCAGCAGTGTATTTCATTCAGTCTGCCTGTTCTGTTCCCCGCTCTGTCTCTGATGAATCCTCTCACCTCCACCCCCTGCCCCTGGCACATCTGGCCTACACCCCAGTAAATATAAATAAATAAATAAATAAATAAATAAATAAAATAAAAAGGGACTATCATACTATCACCAGAGAGCTGCTCTGAGGATAAACTGAGACTGTCAGTGCAAACAGTTTGTTTAGCTGGGAAAGGGAATGTCAGGGGTGGGAAGTCAAGATATTTCTTAGGACAAGGGGGAGACACACTGAAACGTGTGTTAGAAATGTGGAGTGGCTAGGAGTGCGGACTAAGCAGAATCTCAGTGTGCTGCACTTAGATCTGGGGCTGCAGGGGTTTCTAGAGAGTCCCAGCATTCAACTCCCTGAATGCTTAAGTATTTTTATTCTTCCATCCTCCATCCCTCTAATGACACAGTGCATCTCAGAGAGCTCCTTGACAAATGGAGACAAATCCATTACTGCCAAGAACTGGTGGAATCTGGAGCTCAAGAATCTGCTTCACTCCTCAGATGGAGCCAGGACCCAATTTTGGAGCCTGCAGGATGCAGAACAATGGCCCCCAAAGATGTCCATGTCCTAATCACTGGAGTTGGTGGAAAATGTTACTTTGCAAGGCTCAAGAGATTTTGCAGAGGGCCTCTCCTGTGGCTCAGTGGTTGAGCGCTGGGCTGCGAAGCTGCCCGTAGCCTCTGCAGTGCGGGTTCAGTCCCCGGCCACCGGGCGAGGGTCCCACATGGCACGACAGACCTCTCCTGCCACACCCACTGCTCCCCTCAACAGTGTACTTCGGTCCTTCTGCCTGTTCTGCTCCCTGCTCTGGCTCTGGTGAATTCTCTCACCCTCCTGCACTTCTGACTGTACCCAGTGCTTGTGTAAATAAATAAGTAAATCTTCAAAAAAAAAATTTGCAGATGTGATTAAATTATCCTAGCGGGTCTCATATAATCACAAAGGGCCTTAGAGAATGGAAGAGGGAGGCAGAAGAGTCAGAAAATAGGTGAAGATGATGGAAGCAGCGGTTAAAGTCATATGGTTGCTGGTGGGAGGTCATGAGCAGGTATGGAATGCAGGAAGCCCCTAGAAGCTAGAAAAAGGCTCTTCTAGACTCTCCAGAAAGACAATCCTACTGACACCTTTAGTTTAGCCCAGGGGGATCCATGAAAGACCTGTGACCTCAAGAACTGTAAGATAAATGTGTGTTGTTTCAAGCCACTAAGTTTGTGGTCATCTGGTACAGCAGTAAGCCTGCGAGCTGGATCTGGAGGACAGAAGTTTGACCTGGATAGTTGTTACTGGCAAGCCACCCTTCCCCTCCCCCACCCCTCCCTGACAGAGGCTCTGGCAGCATCCTCACTTCTCTCTGCCCTGGAGGTCCAGGTGGGGTGCCCCAGGAGCAGACTTTAGGATGCCCCAGTATACTTTTCCCCTCACTTCCTCCTTTGCTTTCTCAGACCCACTCTCCTCTCAAGAATTTTTTCTATTGTAGTGACCCTACCACCTTGCTATGTGACCTTGAAGAGACCCCTTCCTTTGGCAGAACCTAGAATTCTCTACCTGTAAAAGGAAAACAGGGATCCTCTAGGGTCCACCAGGCCTGACACAGTGAGTCAGCATTTCTAGGATATGATGGGTCTGCTGGCAGCTCTCTTAGGAGGCTCTTGGATTGCTCTCCTCTCCATCCCCCAGTTTCCTCCAGAGTCTGAACCAGAGGCTTTCCTGCTGCCACGAATGATGTACTGAAGTCCAAACACCTCGGTTAAAAGAGGGGGACAATGCTTTATTGACTTGGCACCTATGAACGGGTGGCTATAGGCCCCCAGGGTTCTTTGCTTCTGCAAAGTGGAGGCTCTGTGGTGGGGGCAGCACAAATCAGGGATGCTGGTTCCAGCTGCAGGGAGGGGCCACTATCCCTGCTTTGGTCCCTCCAGTCCCCATGTCCAGCCAAGCACCATCTGAGTCTGGGCCCTCATGGAGCAGGCCAGGGGCACAACTCAGGCTCTTCTGCAGCCCAGGCAGTCTAAGGCAAGAGCTGCAAGACCCTCCTGCTTTGTCTTTTAGTGGGGATCCCAAGATAGGGGAGCAGGAAAGGAGATACCCCATTTACAGAGCACCCCTGAGTTTTTAGGACCAGGGTTCTGGGGTGCTGTTAACAGGAGCCCCACCAAAGAGGAGAGTCAGGAGTCATTCCCTTCCTCCATTTTTTGCTTGGGCTGAGCAGAAAGTGGGAGCTGTCTTTGAATTGGGGCCACAAGAGTTGATGAGGTGAGGTCACACAAGTTGATGGGGTAGAGTCAGGTTCCCCCACGCAGGACCACAACTTCTGGGCAGGCTGTCTTCCAGGCAAGGAGAGAGAGGGCAGATTGAACTGCAGTTGTCACAGGAGGAGGGCTTCCTGGAGGAAGAGGGGCAGGCCACAGTAGGCTCCCAGAAGAGGGGGTCTGCAGAGTGGGCTGGGTCACTATGGCCGGCACAGGACACTGGCATCCTCACTGTGGTCACAGTTGTGAGCATCCCAGCGGATGTGAGAGCAGAGTAGCAGAGCGCTCTCGTCCCCACGACACTTGACATTGTCCACGAGGATAGGGCCTCGACCTGGGCCAAAGTGGGCCTCGCCAGGGGCTGCCAGGGCCTGGCCACAGCCCAGCTGGCGGCACAGGACACCGGCGGCTCGCAGGTCCCAAGCATCATCACAGACAGTGCCCCACCGCTGCCCAAGGAAGAGTTCTACACGCCCCTCACATCGGTGGGCTCCATTGGCCAGACGTAGGTGCCCTGCAGGGGAACAAGGCCTGGGGCTGGGAGGGGCTGGCCCATGCTAGGCCACTCCCAAGCCAGGCCCGGGAAGGGATACACAGAAGAAGCAAAGGGTGGGGGTTTGAGACACAGCACTGTCCTGGGAGCCACTGGAAGGCAGACAAGTGAGATTACAATGGGACGAGCACCAGTCAACAGTTAAGTCTCCAGACTGGAAGAACAGCCCAGCAGACATGAGAGCATAGCAGGAGGACCGGTATAAGCCTTTGTGGGATGTTCTGTGCATGCTGGGTGTTCCGCATCTGCTCTCTCCTTAGTCCTCTGTTCATAAACCAGTACTCAGCCCCGGCTCACTCTCTGGAGACTGTGATTGTGTCCTCTGAAGGCCATTGTCTCCCTCACTCCCTGAACTTCCCAGGGAAAACAGTGAATTCTTTCATTGCCATTCTCAGAACAGGAGCCCCATCACCTCATTTTGGTCCCTCCTCTAGAAATCTGTAGATTGCTGTAACTTAAAATCCATTTTCTCTTTCTGAAAACCATATCCCTATTATGAGGTCCAAGACTAGCACAAAAGAACAAAGGTTCCAGGACCTGCTACAAAACCGTGTGACATCAGGTTATGACTTTCCCAATTCAGGTCCCACTGATCTTGATGCCTCCCTCTCACTCTTAGGGGCTATGGGCACCTACCGTCCCTGGGCCGAGGAGCCGGCACCGGGGTGGTCTCAGAACCATCCTGCTGGACTTGCAGTCCTAGCTCCTCTGGGCCTGGCTTGGCAAGAACAAAGAAACAGAGGTGACGGTCACACTCAAGGAACATGTTCCCTGAGTCCAGGCTGCTCCTACCTTCTTAGGCTAGCCTGATACATGAACAGAAAGGACTTCAGAGACCCCTGACAGAGAAGTGCTCCCCAATCCTTGAATCAGAAATGTAGGTTGTGGATCTTGCAGCCTGAGGCCCAAAGCAGAACCCTTTGTAGCCTACCAGCCCTCTGTGGCCAAAGCCAGTAGCCCCAGGGTATCAAATGATGAAAGTATCAATTCCCATACCAATCAATGAACGGAAGCCTTTTAAAATGTGTCAGACTCTGCAAACTCCCCTTTCCATTGATTCTTCCCAAAGGTCAGACGCTTGTTCCCCGAAAGCTGCTCAACTCTGCTTACTAGAGCTTTGCAGATCCTTGACTCAGCTTCGCAAGAGCTCCCCAGGCCCGCCCTTCACAGACTGTCAGACCGCGTCCCTGGCTTCCGGCTCCCACCTCCGGCCCCGCCCCCGACTGCCGCAGCGCGCCCCTCCCCTCGCCCCGCCCCTCGTTTCCTCTGGCCAGAGGGCGCTCCCTTCCCAGCCCCGCCCATACGCGCAGCCGCAGAGCGCGCGGACGGTTGGGCTCCTCCTCTGCAGTGCGGCAGCGAGGCCTCGCGGCCGGCCCCGCCCGGGCCCAGCGCCGCGCCCTGATGACGCTGGCGCATGCGCCACTCCGCCCACAGGTCTGACCTCACCTGAGCAGAGCGCTCCTGCGTCCTCGTGGTGGCCGCAGTTGTGCTGGCCCCAGCCCAGGTGGAAGCAGTCGCTCAGACGGGCCTCCGTGCCGGCGCAGCCCACGTTGTCCAACAGCACCGGGCCGCGGCCGTAGCCGAAGTGGCCGAGGCCTGTGGCGCCCAGCGCGGGCCCGCAGCCCGCCTCGCGGCAGGCCACTCGCGCGTCCGCGAAGTCCCAGTCATCGTCGCACACGGTGCCCCAGCCCCCGGCGTGCAGCACCTCCACGCGGCCGCGGCACGGGCTCGGGCCGCCCACCAGCCGCAGCCGCCCGCCTGCGGGGCGCAGAGGCCCGCGGCCAGAGGGGATGGGGTGGGGCCACCAGCTCCCTGGCAGAGCCCGGGCCCCAGCCTCTCCCACCCCCAGGGAACCCCACTTCACCACTTACTTTTCTTCCCTGCTGCCCAGGCAACTGTGGTGAACAGTGCCGTCTCCCTGGAAGACAGGGCACCAATTCCTGTAGCTGCAAAGAAAGGGCAACAAGAGACTTTCAAGATAGGAAGGAGGCATCTGGCCTGCTGCAAGGGAACACGGATGTCTCCTGAGATACTGCAGGTACCACAACTGAGGCTCCATCCGCAGACATCGTTTTGTCTGGGATGGGGTCCTCAGGAAATGATTGTAATGAAACCTAATTACAGACATTATCTGAATTTCAATCCAGTGATAGATCTAGCCCTAATTCCCAAATACATCACTCCTTTCATCATTATCTCGATCTTCTCACAAAATATCTGAGTTCTCAACCTCAGCACCAACCCAAATCTTACTTCAGAGCTTTAAAGAAATCTTTTACTACCTCCTCCCACCCTGCTGAACTTTTCAGAGCTCTGGATTTCATCCTTGCTCCATCTGCTCATCTGTTCTCTCACCCACCTCTTTCCCATCTGGCCAAAAGCCCTGGCCTGCAAGTGGAGGCCTCTTTCCTGTGAATCCAAAACAACCTTCCCAATTCCCAAACCTGCCCACTTTGCCCCTGCCATTTGTGCCTGAGCTCCTTACCCCCTGGCTCTGTGTGCCAGGCCCAGTCCTCCCTTGTGGCGGATGGTGGCAGTGCTGTGAGAGTCGGAGGGCCCAGGACTAGGATAAGAGAGAAAGGAGCATGGTCAGACAGAAGTCAACGTTCTGCTTCCTGGTAAGCCTTAGATTATCAGGGATGGATGGAAGGGTCTCCCTGGGGAGGACAATACGTTTTTACATGCAGAGCTGGGATCCAAGGAGGGATGCCCCACTTTGACAGTGGTTGTCATTTACTTGTTCTGCACAGGAGTACACTTAAGTTTATACAGGGCTTTCACAGACATGCGTTTGTTTCTCTCTAATGTTCTCAGACTCAATATGTTGGTCCATGGCATGGAAATATAGAAGATGAAATAGGATGAGAAAGGGCAAGGGATAGACTGGAGACCATGCAGTGAGCTTAGCCATGGCTTTGTCAACACTGTGACCGTGGGAAAAGCTTAGTTTTCCCATCTGTAAATTGGGAATGATGGCCCCCGGGCTGCTGTGGGAGGAAGGCATTGCAGGCAAGCCCTTTACATCTTGTAGAGTGGTGTGATGTATGGATTGTTTCTATTATTCCTATTTTCCCAGAAAACCTCTCAGAATAGATGACAGCCAGGTGTGGGGGGGGGGTGGTGGGGAGAAATACCATTATTAAAGTGTCAGGACCACAAATGGCTGTGCTAGGTAATTCTGGGGACAAACCTGTGCAGCAGTGAGAATTCTGGGATTTCTGGGGCAAGTCTACGGTATTGTTACTTTACTCTGAAGCAGTTGGAAATTGCTGGGAAATACCAGACGCATTCTTGTACTGCCAAGTGATTCTGAAGTACTGGTGGAACATACTGCTGTATTACATAGCTGTGTTACATAGCTGAGAAAATCTCAGGGTGCTGAGATTTTCTAAGGCATTGCTAGAACTATACAGAGAGTTAAAAGTAATTTGGGGACTTCCTGGAGAACTGTGGGAAGCACCCAGGTAGATCCTGGCCTAGAACCCGCACATACCTGCACAGAATGCTCCAGCGTCCTCGTGGTGGCCGCAGTTGTGCACGCCCCAGCCCAGGCTTAGGCAGGCTGCAAGGCGGGTCTCACTGCCTTCGCAGTGCACGTTGTCCAGCAGGATGTGCCCAGTGCCATAGCCGAAGAAGGCGTTGGTGGTGGCTGCCACCGCTGCCCCGCAGCCCAACTGACGGCAGACAACGGCGGCGTCCGGCAGTCCCCAGTCATCGTCGCACACGGTGCCCCACAGGCCACCATGCAGGATCTCCACTCGGCCCTGACAGGGGCCCATGCCCCCAACCAGGCGCACGCTCCCCTCACCTGGTGATGGGGTGGGGGCAGGGAGCATCTCCCACAAGGCTCTCCTCCCATCCCTTCCAAAAGTGCACCTAACCAAAACTTCCACAATGCCTCAGGCTCCCCACATGCCCACTGTTCTTGGTGCCACAGAACCTAAAACCCTGGAGGAGGTGCTTAGCCACTTAGTCCCAGGCCACTGCCTCCTCCCAGTCCCAGGTTGAGGGGGGTTTGTGGGGTCAGAGGACGGATTGGCTTTGACTGTCTCTTTTTCTGCCTAAAAGCAACCCTTCATGCTCTTTCTTGTCCGTGTTGTAACAGGCTAAGTGCTGCTTCCTCATTTTTTTCTGAAAAAAATTTTCTCACCTTTCCAGGTGGAGAACCTACAACTCTTCTTCCAGGATGTCCTGTTAGATCTCTGATGGACGGGACCCTCTTTCTACTCTGGATTTCCTTTTAATCTGTCCCTCTTTTAGGGCACGTTCCCTTTTCCTGTTCTACATCACCATGGGCATTTCTATGCCCATCTGACTCTCCCATTAGATTAATTTCCAACCCCAACCTCACTGACTTTCTCTAACCTTGTGCTATTTTTAGTCATCCCATACGTTAGAATCCTCTTTCCCCATCCAGACTATGAGGCTATGAGTGGCCTGAGGGCACCTTGGTAATGCTTCTCTTCCCCGTCTGGAGCAGGGTGCTCTCCTCCTTAGACCCCTCTCCTCAAGGCCAGATGGTTCCCCACATTGCCCTTACTTACCTTTCCCATTCTGGTGGGTTGTAGTGGGTACTCTACTGGTTAACACTTTCCTTATTGGGGGCTGAGTGGATAAGAATTCTGGGAAAGAAGCAGGATGGAAAGAAGGAAGGAACATGAACCTTTTTGTTCTCCAGCCTTGCACATACACAGGTGTGGACCCCTAAGGTACCTGCTCTTCAGGGCCTCTGACCACACGAAGGGTCAAAGCCAGGAGCTCTGGGTATGAGAGGAGAAAGGACCACCTGCATCCTGAAAGCAGTAGCTTCAGTGTCCTTTACAGTGTCTTTCAACTAAAAGAACATCACTTGAAAACTTGTTAATTCAAGTTTTGCAAATTTGCAAATTCTCAGTCCGCACCCCAGCCCTGCAGTATCAGAAAACTCTGGGATGGGGGCCACAGTCTGTTTTAATGAGCTTTTTAGGTGATTTTATTGAAAACTAGGACCACTGCTTTCAAGATGAAAGCCCCTCAGAGATTTCCACTGCAGCTCTATGCCAGTGTTATGGTCAGTGTGGATGCCAGTTCTAGTTTTCAAAATAGGGAGGGGGCTTTGCTGGGACAATCAAGGCCCTACATGGAAGCAGTAAGGCTGGTTTCACCAGAAGCATCACTGGGACCTAGGGGTGTTGGCAGCCAAACTGGGGTTCTTTCCCCAGGATTGTGCACGAAGCCCCTGGCTTGGCCTTCTGCATGGAACGGAGCAGCCTTACTGCTGAGGTCCTTCCTTTGACTAGCTTACAGTCCTGCTGCCTGTCAGTCTGGCTGCCCTCCCACATTGCAGGCCTCTGCTCACCATCACACAGGACGGCCACATCCTCATAGTGAAAGCAGTTGTGGATGCCCCAGCCTCGGCTGCCGCACTCGCTCAGAGCAGCTTCCTGCCCCCGGCACTCCACGTTGTCCAGCAGGATGGGACCTCGACCCTGGCCAAAGGCCAGGGGCCGAGGCACAGGCAGTGCCAAGCCACAGCCCAGCTGCCGACACACCACATTGGCGTCCACCACGTCCCAGTCGTCGTCACAGACACTGCCCCAGGAGCCACCATGCAGGACCTCCAGGCGTCCCCGGCAGCGATTTGGGCCCCCCACCAGCCTCAGCTCTGTGGAGAAGGTTGAGCTGGCAGAAGGGGGCGTGCCGGACCCCACCTACAGGATGCCCACTTTGCCTATCTGAAGCCCACCTGAAGGCATGGGAGCCTTGGGATCAGTCCTTTCTGGGCCTTATACTTTCTGTAAAATGGGGAAACGGTCACAATCCCTTTGAGGGCATATAGAACAATGGAGAGCTGATTAGCCACTGCTCCCTGAGGTCTTCTGTCTGAGCATCTGAGTACCTGGGGGGCAAAGTACAGTGCAGGGGGGAGGAGTAGAGGGATGGAAGAGCAGAGACACCTACCTGGAAAGGCCAGTAGGGTAGGCTGTAGGGCGCTGGCTGAAACAGTGAGGAAAGCACTGACCCCTCTGTCCCCTCACATGGCTGCTGGCCCCAGGAACACAGCCTCCCCTCCCCCCACGTCCTCATCATCATGCCCTCCTCATCATTACCCCTGCCTTTCCAGAGCGCCACCTCCTCTTCCCTTAATTGTGGCCTCCTTTCCCGAGGGTCACCCAAGAGAGATCTGCCTGAGACCCAGATCTGCTTAATTCAGCCCAGTGCTAAATCCCTCAATGACTCCTCATTTCCAACAGGAATCTCCACTCCCGAGTTTTCCCTACAAAACCTTCTAGTATCTTCTGACTAGCCTCCAACTTACTTCTTAATCTTCCATTAGCCTGGTCTCCAGGTCTTTAAGCAAGCAGTCTCCTCTGCTTAGACAGTTCTGGCTACCCCTGTTCCTTACAGCTCTGCAGCTCCTTCAAGACCCAGAAAGGGAAGGCTTTCTGGAGCCCACAGCTGGAAGTGCTCTCTCTTCCTTCTCAATCCCTGGACAAGGTAGACATGCCCCTTCTGCCTGGTGATACAGCCAATGCCTACCTCACATTAGTGTCCCCCAGAGTCCCCGCCTGCTAGTCAGCATATATGCAGTAGCTCCAGTAGCTTAAGTGTTTAAGTTGACCTTGGGATTCATTATGATTTCCCAGAAAGATTTACCTAGATGAGTCCTTCTGCTTTGGCTCTCATATACATACATGCAGGCACTGTGCTCATTGCTTTATGTGGACTGGCTCGCTTAATCATTAGGACAATGTATGAAGTAGGTAGGATTATGCAGGGGGAAAACTTCAGGTTCTGTGAGGTTAGGCAAGTTGATCAAGGTCACCCAGGGTAGAACTGGGACTCTAATCCAGAGTCACATTTTTCTTCACCATACACTTGTGAGCACGTGGCCTGAGGGACAGGCAGGACACATGGAACCTGGTCTCCCTTGGGAAACTGAAAACCTATAATTGTCCCTCATTTTGCACAAGGTATGACATTTTCACATCTATCACCTCACAGAATCCTTGCAATAACCTGAGACACATACTATGTATGTGTCTTAAGTTTCTTAAG